TGGCTCACAAGAACTTAAGAAAGGCCCAAGTGAGAATGAAAGAACTGTATGATAAGAGTTCTTGTAAACGAACATTCAATCCAGGCGACAAAGTTCTTGTGCTAGTGCCTAATCTGGACAATGCGTTATCCTTGAGATATTGTGGACCTTTTACTGTGCATTCAAAATTAAGTGATTTGAACTATGTTGTCAATACGCCCGACAGAAGAAAGAAACAGACAGTGTATCATGTCAACTCACTGAAAAAGTATTATGATAATTGTAACAATTTTCAATCCACAGCTAAAATTAATTTACCTGTATGTTCTAATGTTTCTGATGATGTGATACATGATAAATTGAAACCCCCAAAATTGGTAAATTCTTCCTTTTTAGATAATTTGAATGTCCACCTTATGCATTTGTCCACAGAGGAAAGCCATAGATTGTCTCAGTTATTTGAGACATTTCCCTCTATTTTTGGGGATGCCCCCAAAGAAGCGAAGGTTCCACCTCATGATGTAGACGTTGGTGACGCAAAACCCATTAAACAACACCCCTATAGAGTTAACCCGGAAAAAGCTGCTTTGATAAAAGATGAAATTGACTATATGCTCAAGAATGATATCATTGAGCCCAGTTTCAGCAACTGGAGTTCCCCATGTCTCCTAGTCCCGAAAGACGGTGGATCTTTCAGGTTTGTGACCGACTTTAGGAAGGTGAATGCGCTCACCAAAGCTGATTCCTATCCCTTACCTCGGATAGAAGACGTTATTGATAAAGTTGGGCAGGCTAAGATAATTTCCAAAATTGATTTACTTTCAGGATACTGGCAAATCCCCTTATCTGACCGTGCAAAAGAAATATCTGCTTTTGTAACCCCTAATGGTTTTTATAGATACAAACGTATGCCCTTTGGTATGCGAAATGCTGGTCAAACTTTCCAGAGGGTCATTAACTCTGTCATTGCTGACATAGACCAATGTGAGGCCTACATAGATGATATAGTTGTATTTTCTAATACTTTTGAAGAACATATTGTTCAATTGACTAACCTTTTTAGAAAATTGTCTGAAGTTAATTTTACTGTAAACTTACATAAAAGTGATTTCTGTAAAGCTTCAATTACCTATTTGGGTTATCAAGTGGGAACGAACCAAGTTCGGCCCATTGAAGCTAAAGTAGATGCTATTGTAAAGTTGCCACCTCCCAAAAATTGTAAAGAGATCAAAAAGTTCCTTGGGATGGCTGGTTACTATAGGCGGTTCTGTCAAAACTTTTCAGCTATTGCTGAACCTCTTACTGCATTATTGAAAAAGGGTGTTGAGTTTGAATGGTCCAATAAGTGTCAAGAAGCTTTTTTAACCATTAAGTCATTTTTATCAAATGCTCCTGTTATGGCTGCACCAAATTTTAGCAAGCCCTTTAAACTTGCCATTGATGCTAGCAACTTAGCCATTGGCTCAGTCCTATTTCAAGAAGACAACATGGGAATTGACCATCCCATTGCCTTTTTTTCCAGGAAGTTAAATGAGAACCAAAAGAATTATTCTACTATTGAAAAAGAAGCTTTAGCTTTGGTTTTATCATTACAACATTTTGAAGTCTATGTCTCTTCTTCAACCAATCCAGTCAGAGTGTTTTCTGACCATGATCCCCTGAAATTTACCTCTAAGTTAGGACAGACAAATCAAAGAATATTGAGATGGTGCTTATATTTCCAAAATTTTAATCTGGAAATTTCACACATTAAGGGTAGTGATAATGTTGTGGCTGATTGTTTGTCAAGGATGTAAAATCTTGTTACACACATTGATCATGTGACATGCTTTGTGGTTCATTAGGACCATAAACAGGTTTTGTTTGAGTGTCACTCATATGAAAATGAGTGGTGTGAGTTTAGAATTTTTCAAAATTCCAATCCTGTTGAATATTTTGTTTATTTTCAGGTGAACCTTAATTAAAGGTGGTTTTTGATTATATGTAATCTTTTATATTAATATGTCTCATATGACTCCATTGATATTGTAGCTAGTCATTGAAATAAAGGTCTTACCCTGGCGGGTTTACCACTTTTAATATCCACATGGAAATATTGTAATACCCTTTTTTGAGGGATTTTGATGTATAATTACTTTTTGAAGGGTTACTCCCCTTTCACCAATTGTAAAAGTTGGAGTTACTTCCCTTTTATGTTCAGGGATATTTTCATCTGGTATTATGATTTTGATTGCCTACATTTGTAAAACATTTTTGTTATTTCATTGCCAGATTGGTTCCCTATGTATGTTTTTGTGGAACCTATCTGTCACTTCCAAAAAGGGAGGGGATGTAACCTACTTAGGTCGAGTCATTTTTATTTTGACATTGTATAATTCCTTATATGGAATGATGGTGTAACACCTGGGGTTTTTCCACTAACTTATTAAGGTGTTTGAGACATAGAAATTTTCCATTAAAATCTGATTGAATGATTCTGATCAGATGATTATCCCAACCAATGGCGACATGAGTTGAGGATAACCTCCCCTGTCACAGAAGTCTTTAATTGCCCCGCACACTCGCAACACGAGGCAGTTTATCTTGACCTGGCAGTCTACGAGGCAGTTTTACCTTAGTCAGGCAGCCGTCCATATTGTCCGGCTATAGACTCTGACCATTTGAACGTGAGAGTACTTAAGACCTGTGTGTGCCTTGCTTTCTTAAAGTTGATTTAGTCTTCTAGTTTAACATTACTTGTCGCTGAGTAATTCCTGAAGCTACAGCAGTGTTGTGTGGCCTGTAGCTGTTCTTTAGACAGTGTAGAAATCTGTGATAGTGTTTTTTCCTACATTGTGTAAGTTGGTTTTTGATATTTTATACATTAAATATTTTATTTAGTTCAACCTTGTGTTCTGCCACTTCTGAGTTCGCTGATTAAAAGGTCGTATGTAGATTGGATGAGTGTGAAGTACAATAGTATCACTAGCTTCCCTAGACATTAAATTCGAGCCCTAGTGGTCGTTGTGTTAAGTGTTCATCCACTTAGGCCGTAAGGCATTTGCATATGACCCCGAAAAAAGAATCCGGGGACGTTCTCCTTCTATTTGGCTGATAGATAGGTTAACGTTACAAGAGGCATTAACAATACAGGTGCTGATAGAGGTAGGAGAGTCATTAGCAATACAGGTGCTGATAGAGGTAGGAGAGGCATTAGCAATACAGGTGCTGATAGAGGTAGGAGAGGCATTGACAATACAGGTGCTGATAAAGGTAGGAGAGGCATTTACATTGCAGGTGCTGATAGAGGTAAGAGAGGCATTAGCAATACAGTTGCTGATAAAGGTAGCTAAGAGATTCATTTGTTGCTTTGGATAATCGACTTTTTTACAACACTGATGTGAGTAGGCGCTTCACTGTTTTCCTTACATATTCGACTTATTACAGCTCAACAAATGTACTGTAATCAGAGCTAATTGCCCTTTGTTAAGTTTAAAATTCGTATTTATAAGCAAAACCTAATCATTAACTCAAAGTATATTCCCTGTTAAATAACCTTAGATTAACCCTGGACAAAACCTGGATTAATAACTTGAATCTAACCCTGACCCAAACATTTTAGTCGACGGGTTAACGGCTCGTTAGAAATTGAACACCTAATTATTGTATATTTAGCTGAATAAAATGTCTATGTTGATTACACTACAACGTATGGATAGAAATGCATACAAATAATTAATGCACATTTACACCGTTTCCTAGACTCTAGTTATAAAGTAACACATACAAAGTAAAAAAAATAATACAACATACAACTAATAAATAATTTTTAAAAAACAACGTACCAGCTACCAGGAGACAAAGAGACGCTAGAGCTAGAACCTTCATGGCTATGCAACAGTCAGACGATGATAGGAGATTGTGTCTGTCGAATGTTCCAGAATTTATACTGGCTGTTTGTATTCCTTTTTTTTTCCACTCGAACTTTGACCTCAATAAAAATGTTGTCCATTCTTAGATTACAAGATATTGCGAACAAAATAATTAGCTCTTTAAATGTACTGAAATTATAATTTTATCTGTACCAAGTTTTACTTTGACATTTTTATAAGTAAAATGAAGTAAAAAGTTATTATTCTTTCACGAATCTCTTCAAGTGGGGAGGGGTTGGGAAGTCTACTGCACCCCTGAAATAAATAGAAAATGCAGTGAAATTTAATTGCACCTCCCACCCCTGAAAGTTTCAAGTGCCCCACCCCCCTCCCCCACCCCCACCCGGATACAAATGTCCAAAATATATATTGTGTAGTTGGAAGGCAAAAATGATGTAACACTGCTAATGTCTGTACAATTATATAGCGACTAAAACTGAACAAACACTCAGCACTTCAGCTAATCAGCTCTTTATGTAACAGTCAGTAGGCTCTACACCAAAGAAAAATGTATGGACGCTTACTTTTCACCTATTTGTTGTTTTTAATTGATACCGTTTTTAGAGATGTGTTAGTTATTTCGTTTACCTTTTTCTCGAAATTTCGTTTTGTTTATTTCTTAAGTGGGGACCGTGTGACCTAGAGGTAGAGCACTAGACTGCCAACCCGAAGGTCTCGAATTGATACCGTTTTTAGAGATGTGTTAGTTATTTCGTTTACCTTTTTCTCGAAATTTCGTTTTGTTTATTTCTTTAGTGGGGACCGTGTGACCTAGAGGTAGAGCACTAGACTGCCAACCCGAAGGTCTCGAGTTCGAATCAGGGTTCAAGTCAGTTGAACGTCCCCGAGTCTACCCAGCTCTGATATGTACCTAACTCACTTTGAAGCTAATAATGTCAGCTTGGCATAGTGCTGACCACACTATTCCTTTATACGCCGAGGTCACTGAAACAAATTAACTCTACTTCATCTGCTTCATGTGTCTTTGGCACGAAAGGGGAAAGACAATGATTTCATAAGTATTCAAAAAGTTTTCCCGATATTCCCGTCTTAACAAAATACAGTTTAGTTAGATGATGTGATCTATAGACGTTATCTCTAGCACGATGTTCAAACACCAGGCACTTTCTCATGATTCAATTCGCTTATTAAATCACTCAGCACTATCTGTACAAGAATGAAGATCTTCATTTTTATATGTGTGTGTACACTATACATCAGTAAGTGAACTTTCAAATGTGTTTTTTATTTACGTTTTCATGCTGCTAATCCGTATAAATAACATACAGTCCTTAAACAATTGAATAGGCAGCTACAGCTAAAGTTAATGCTGATACAATAAAATGCTAGTACAGTGAACCATTTGGAATAAGTTTGGTCGAGCGATAGAGCACATCATGCAAGTGGCCCACTATGATGAGTCGAGTGGGTTCGGACCTCAAGCTATGTTGAACTAAGGGCACACAATTTGATGTCGTTTTAGCGTTTCGCCTTTTAGGCTGTTCGTTCCTGATTTGGTTTTTCTCTAACTGTTCTCAGTGGCTCCCAATATTTCTTGTGTGGTCCTACATGTCATATCATCAGACATTTCTTGGCCGACCTTTTTCTGGGGATGTAAGGTGATGTAGTCTTGATATGATGTAGTCGGTCAGTGGCTGAAACATCAAAACGTGCTGGGCCGTATCTATGTGTTAAACATCTCGATGTGTGAACCATCGTGATGTGCGAAACAGCTAGATATGTTAAACATTTACTTGTGTAACCATTTAAATGTACGAAACATCTATACACGTTAAACATCTAGATTTGTTAAATATCTAGTGGTTCTTGTCTCAACTGTGACGTCATCTCTTTGTGTTAGACATCTCTCTAAACATGTCTAATGTTTTTCTCTCCAGCCTACATCAGCCCCACCCCCCTGAGCAAGTTGACTGACCGCTGCACTGTATCGTGTCACAAGCTGCTAGGTGTGCCATGTCCAGATGGCAGTCACTGTCCACTCAGCGCCTGTCAGATGACCTGTCCAAGTAAGTCATGCCACGACCTTGGTGAACGATGGGCTGGTTCCTTAGTGTATGTTGTATACAGCAGCCGGTGTAAATGGTGGTTAGCAACAAATTATCAAGGGTTTACTTAACTATAAAACACCCTGTTTAAATTCAGTGTTTCTTCCAGACTTTTTTCTCCGGGGGGGGGGGGCACTTGAAATTTTCGGGTGGCGGTAGACTTTCTCCGGGGGGCGGACACTGTTAAAAGTATATATTTTCTATATAAATTATATAAATTTCATTTTGTTCGGGGGGGGGGGGGGGGCGGTAGAATTTTTTCGAGGGGGCTTCGCCCCCCCCCCCCCCCCCCCCAAGTAGATGCCTGGATGAAACTCTGTTTAAATTATGCTTAACAACAAATTATCTATGGTGTATTTGAAATTTTAAAAAAGAAGCCTGTTTAACTGATGCTTAACAAATTGTCTAAGGTTTAACTGAAGTAAACGCGAGTCTGTTTAGATGATGCTTAACAAAAATTATCTAGGGATTAACTGAACTAAACAACACTCTGTCTAAATGATGTTTAGCAAATTGTCTAGGGTTTTACTGAATTTAGCAATAAACTAAATAATCGGTTGTTTAAAGCTTACCTTGTCGGGTCGGTGTATCTCATGGTTACTAAACCGAAAAGTCCCGAGTTCGAACCCCTGGACAGATGAGGCTTGATAGCTGTAGACAGCAACTCTTTTAGGAGAGACAACTCCAAAATAAAATAGCGTATGCTAGCACGGCATCATTTGACCTTATAGAAAAGGCCGTCGACCAGGTCACTTGTTCAAGGCATCCAGCTGTGGGAAGGCATGGAAGGGATGGGCGCCGCCATGCAACACTTAGCTCTAGACATATAACTCTGTGATGCCCCAAAGACCCAAACAAGAGTTAGGTGACTATTGAGATTTTGATTAGAAAATAACTAATTAACTTAAAATGTCGAACCAAATTACTGCTGAACAGCATAAACTGACCAATGTGTCAATTCATTTTTCGTATGTCATGTCAGTAAATGGCGGTACCGACTGACATGTCACGGTGTGATTAATATCCGGCATTAATTTATCAACTCATCTTTCGTATGTCATGTCAGAGAATGACAGTACCTTCACATCATGGTGTGACTAATGTTCGGCATTACTTACAGATGAGTACCAGAGATCCGAGAAGTGTGGCGTCATCGTCTGCTTGACCCTGTGTGAACACGGACGTGAGTTGGACGAGAACGGCTGTCCGACATGCACCTGTGTGTGAATGACAGCTGACATGTCAGCGTGCTGGACCAACACACCTGCAGCGGTGTCGTAACACATCATGTGTGAAACATGCTGACATCAGTTAGCTAAGTCTAAAATAAATTCTTGGTGATATTTCAAAGTGTTTTATTATTGTTTTTTCTTTTAGTTTTATAATTAATGTAACCCGCATGCCATAGCTGCGTGAGAAATTATGTAACAAAGATGTTTAAATGAACATGCAAGCTGACCAGAGTTTCTTCCAGGCATCTCTTCGAAAAAATTTTACCGCCCCCCGCCCCGAACGAAATGAAATTTATATAATTTATATAGAAAATGTATACTTTTAACAGTGTCCGCCCCCCCGAAGAAAGTCTACCGCCCCCCCCCCGAAAATTTCAAGTGCCCCTCCCCCCCCCCCCCCCCGGAGAAAAAAGTCTGGAAGAAACACTGAAGCTGACCTTCAAAACCGAAGTGGTCTGTTTCGCTCTGTCCAGTTAATGTCAAACGTTTTCATTGCTTATTCGTTTACTGTTTGATTCATTGATATATCCAACGTTGAAAACAACACAGAAAAATGTGTAGGGAACCACATTGACTTGCGCCCTTTTGTCGCAACTCTACATGACTATCTTTTTTTTAAAGCCATTTTGACGAGAATTTTTTTGTCGGGAATTGTAAAAATATTAACCGAGTCTCAAAGACGGGCCATTTTTAAAAAGCACATTGTTCTCTTTTAAGTATAGATTTCAGATCTCATTTATATGACTGTGAGGTTCTGACCAAGGTTTTAATCGGCAAATGTATGAAATAGTTTTATATACCCCGTACGGCCATACCTGAGTAAATAGACGGGTACTTATAGACTATTAACAGGTTGAGACCATTGAACGATTGAAAATATCACATATAAAATGATAACTGCAAAACTTGATTACTTTAACTGGTTTAAACCTTCACTGTTATATATTATTAACCTTCCATGGAAGTTATATACGTATTGATTAATCTAAATATCAAATTGATAGTTTCGTTTGTTATTTTTTTTTCTATAAAGTTTTTATTTTATTCTATAATTTATACCAACGATTGATCTAAATATTAAATTGATAGTTTCGTTTGATATATTTTTTTTTCAATCAGGTTTTTGTTTTATTTTCATAATTCATACCAAAAACAGAAGAAAGGCCGTTTAAAAACATATATGGGAAATATGTTGATTATCTGAACTTACATTTAAAATAAACCTTTTCATTTTTATTTCCATTTAAAGTCAAGCATTTATAGTTTTAATTATTAAATGTAGGTAATGTTGATTTTAAAATATAGATGTAAAGAAGAAGCAAATCAACAAAAATAGGTGAGGATATAGCCCAGTTGTCTGGTAGATGTTTAAGTTCTGTCATATGCGTATAAGTAAGATGTTGATTCGTCTGGGTTTAAAAAAAATGCAACAGGTATGTGAATGCATTAGCGTGTAGTAAAATTGAAAAGTTCTTAAAGACATCAAGCATGAAATTTACTTTTTTTTTCTTCAGACATGTAATTTAAAGCGTCAGTTTGCCTTGCATGTTCGCTTTAGTATTATAGTTTTCATCATCGGATTGTGAGGAATGATATAGATTTTGAATAGTATTATTTCTTTCTTACATGTAGCTTATTTTCATTTATTTAGGATTGGTTTACTTATGCATAGATCTAATACAAAAGTCTGATTTCAATTTTATTTTTAAATCTAAACATGCAAACGTGTAATTAAATGATGATTTAGGGGATTTTATTTCTTCCTCGGTGTGGTGGGCTGAGGTGGTTTGGGCTTATAAGTAGAAGTGGAAAACGTTTGGTCATAATTACTAAATCAAGCGATGGTCGGCACGACTAGACAAAGATGTTCTAAAAATAATACGGTCGAATAATTTTGTTTTTTAAACAAAACTTTATTAATTTGATATAAATTTCCCAAATTAATTAATTTGTTCATATTAATACTAAAACAAACGTTAAAACAGTACATTATACGTAAAAAGTAGTTTTCCGTATATGTCATAGCTGTATACACTATTATTTAATACTTTTATAATGAGTAGCCTCCCGTTGAACAAATGCTCGGAACAAATAAACCTTATGACCACTACTGTCATAGACGTTACCATTTTGTTCAACCCACCACCACCAGGTGGTTGCTACCTTCACTACCACTATAACTTCTTTTAAATACCTTATTTGAAAAACTTTTTCAATAACTAACAGCAATTCATTAATAATAATTAATAATAATTAATAATTCTTAATAACTAAACTCAACTAATTTTAAAGTTTAGATAATGTTTTAATTACAACCGTGAAGATTTGTTGCTTAAAAACTAAGCAAGCACAGAAGTTTAAATGTGTGAATATACATGATGAGTACAGAAGAGACAACATTTTGTTTTAATAACCTACAAGCATACATCAGGTACAGCATGGAACTCTCTCCCGACAAAATAAGTTGGAAAAGCCCACAATCGCCTATTTGCGGGTTATAGCTAGATGATTCTAAAATGTTCAACATACTATTCATACTATTTCTCTATACTAGATAAAATAATTTTAAAATAAGGCCCGCCGTACCAGAGCTGCATGCGTTGTATTATTTAAGGGTGTTGGCTAAGCTAGCTTTAAAGGTGTCATATTCAATAAGGACGTTTCGACGGGAGACTTAGTCTTTACGGAAACCGTATCGGTATGGGCACTTTTGTCGGGAGCCTTATTGACCGAGGCCTATTTGTCAGGAGTCGTAATGACGGGAGCCGTTTTGTCGGGAGCCTTATATGACTGGAGCCTATATGTCGAAGCCCAAATGATGGGAGTCTACTTGTCGGGAGCCTATACGACAGGGCCCAACTGTCGCTTGCCCTATAAAATGTGGTTGATTTAATCAGTGAGTACATAGGTAAAATGTTGGGGCCGGTTTGTTGGGGCCGTTTTGTCAATGGCCGTTTTGACACCGCAAGTCAGAGGCTATATTAGCAGGATGAAATCTCGAAACGTAATACATTGATTGCTTTGTCGACCTTGATGTATAATCTCGAGAAGTAATACATCGTTTGTTTTGTTGACCTACTGTATAATTTCAGACAAACGAAGATAAGAATTTCTTATCTCCTCCTAATTTTGGTATAGTCGGTTAAGTATTTTTTATTCAACCGTCTTATTCTTGGCAAGCAGCAGGAGAAACTTCTTAGATTCACGTCATGAACTTTACGCTTATTATAGTGTTGCTGGTACTCATATCAGGTGAGTTCACAGGTAACTAGTTGTTTGACAAGTGAGTACACAGGTAACTGGTTGTTTGACAGGTGAGTACACAGGTAACTGGTTGTTTGACAAGTGAGTACACGGGTAACTGGTTGTTTGACAGGTGAGTACACAGGTAACTGGTTGTTTGACAAGTGAGTACACGGGTAACTGGTTGTTTGACAGGTGGGTACACAGGTAACTGGTTGTTTGACAGGTGAGTACACAGGTAACTGGCGACAGGTGAGTACACAGGTAACTGGTTGATTGACAGGTGAGTACACAGGTAACTGGTTGTTTGACAGGTGAGTACACAGGTAAGTGGTGACAGGTGAATACTCAGGTAATTGATTGCTTCTTGACAGTAAGACAACAATATGTAACCTTATTGACTTCTGTTTAATATACCCATTCCTTCCGAAAGAAATGGCCAATAAACATGAGATTATGTTAGTAAATTATACAAAGAATAATGTTTGTAAAATCCTTTTACCTCACAATCAAGATGCCGGTTAATTTTCGATACATAGAATTAGATAAATTTAGAGAGTAATTCAAAATCAAATACATAGTATAAATAAAAAGTATCACTAAGTCTTTTCGTTTATATCACTTATATTGGTGTTCTTCTCAGAGGCGTAGCGACCCTTCCGGGCGCCCGGGGACAAACTTTTCGATTTGCACCTCCCCCCTCAAGATTTCGATTTGCACCGCCCCCCCCCCCCCCCCTCTCAACATTTCGATTTGCACCCCCCTCACACGTTTGATTAGCAACCCCCCTCAAACTCTTTCGATTTGCACCTCCTCAACCTTTCAATTTATTTTTCCAACCCATTTAGACGCCCCCTAAGGTCGGCGCCCAAGGACATATGTCCCCCCACCCCCCCCCCCCCCCCCCCACCCCCCGCCCCCACTCGCTACGCTATTGGTTCTTTTCTACCATAAGCGATACTCGTGTATTTGATGACATGCCTCCACTAAAATCTCACTTTTGTTTGACACTTCCAGCCGCCTATGCCTTTCTGGCATCCCCCTGTCCCCCAGAGTGTGACTGTGGGCCGGGCTTTCATTGTGCTATAGGCAACAACATCTGTGGCTTCTACTGTGTCCAGTCAGTGGTAAGTCAGGTTTTGTTATTGTGTCCAGTCAGTGGTAAGTCATGTTTTGTTATTGTCCAGTCAGTGGTAAGTCATGTTTTGTTATTGTCCAGTCAGTGGTAAGTCAGGTTTTGTTATTGTCCAGTCAGTGGTAATTCAGGTTTTATTATTGTCTGCATCCTATGGTAAGTCATGTTTTGATATTGTCCAGTCAGTGGTAAGTCATGTTTTGTTATTGTGTCCAGTCAGTGGTAAGTCATGTTTTGATATTGTCCAGTCAGTGGCAAGTCATGTTTTGATATTGTCCAGTCAGTGGTAAGTCAGGTTTTGATATTGTCCAGTCAGTGGCAAGTCATGTTTTGATATTGTCCAGTCAGTGGTAAGTCAGGTTTTGTTATTGTCCAGTCAGTGGTAAGTCATGTTTTGTTTTCGCGTTGAGCTATCAACTTTGTTAAAAACAAACATATCAGTTAGATACCTACATGGGTTTGTGTATAATTTACATGCATGAGTATACACATTAAACAAATCATTGTAATAAATAATTACTTTTGCCTCCAACAGAACATACACACCTAAAGCTGGTCGAAAGCGTATCATTAGTTCCAGAACTCTAAGACGTCACCATGTTTAATCAAAGTTAAGAGTATTCGAAACCTCGTCAGAGCGACAATTTTGGGGGAAAAAAAGTCTGTCAATAGTTTCTTGTCAATAAAAGCAATAAGATTTACTTTTGTTTGCCATTATTACTCTTGTTATGACCTATCGATCACAGTTATTGTTCCAGAAATTTTCTCCGGAGGGGTGGGGGGGGGGGTAATAGTATGGTAAAAGTATGTTTTCTGTATACATTCCATTTCGTTTGGTGGGGGGACGGACGTAGTCTTAATTCGCCCCCCCCCCCCCTAAAAGATGCCTGGAATAAGCAATGAACGATCTGTGAATTTTATTTAAATAAATCGTATGCATTAGTTAAGTAATTAAGAATTATATACATTAATATTATAATAATTCCTTTTTTTTTTATGATTTTAAAGATATTTTAATCCATACAAATCGAAAATAGTTCTTGTTTTTAACATATTAGAAGATTTTTTTAAAAAGGGAGCAAAATTGAGCCAAAGAAATGTTCCCTGCTACTTATTATGATAAAGAATAGATGATTCATACCAGAACATGTCATCTCTAGACATTGACAGTAAATTTCTTCAGTAAAGACTCAAGTTACATGCCTGTATCGATGGTATACAATTACACTTACAGGCCTGTATCAACAATATACAATTACAGGCCTACATCCATAATATCATATAATTACAGATGTACAAAAAAGCTGTAATTAAAAGTCTACACCAATGTTATCATACAATAACAGGCATAAACTCCAACCAGACATCAATAAACATGTTAAAATATGCAAACTGTAGCCACTAGAGGTAGTCAATCTCTAAAATAGACTAGAGGTTACTACCCGATTCCCCACTTCAAAACATTTCTATTCAACAAGTATTTCTGGAACATAAAATCTGTTGCGCTTAAATTTGACCTCACTGTGGTTTACTGCATTTACAATGAGCCTAGAAAAAATGTAGCATTGCTAAAATTCAACTATTTTCTCAGTGTTGGCTAGCTCAACTGCTGGAAAGTAACATTGAAATAACATTTGAAGCCATTTATTATCTCATAACACTGTTGGTTTGGATTTGGATTAAAAATATGTCGTTTCACAGAAATCTTTTTTTTTTCTTTCCAAAAGCAACTATTGATTAATTACTGATTTTGCTGTCATATTGAAACAAGAAAACAATACAAAAAAGTTGTTTTAGGTTTCTTTTTCCCCCCAAACAATTACCTAAATTAGTAATTAATCAAATGTAAGAATATTATTAAAATGAAATTCTCTTACTACTCTGTTATTGTAAAACTATTAAAACAAAATATTACAAAGTACATTATGAAGTTCTCTTAATTTCTTTACTCTGCTGATTATAATAATTCCTTAAATAGTAAGGGATCCCTAAACAGTAACAAACTATTCTATTAAATGTGTATCCGGTTAACTTTACTTATAAATGTACTGTTGTGTAAAAGAAAAGTAGGGTTATACAATTTGTGTTTTTAAAGTCATATATTTATCTATGAATCCCATGACAATTTTTTATCTAAAGTTACTTAAAACTATTATTTGTAACATAAAATAATATATATTCTGTCACAGTTGCTGTTTATCTATTTTTCAAATTTGTTATACAATTTTAAATACTATATTATGAGTAGTCACCCCTAGCAAACAGTTTATTTTTTAATCTTTCAGGTTGTTTACACAAAAAGAGGAAAATAAAACTAGTATAAAAAAAAAAACCTTTACTGAAAATAAGAAAATGAAACTGATTTGCTTTCTTTAATAAAAAGCTTTGTTCGCTGTGGAAGATCTCATGAGCGACCAAAGTTTTAATGAACGAAAGCAAATTAGCTTTATTTAATTATTTTTAGTGCATGTAAAAGCTTGTTACTAAAAAAATTATAGATTTATTAATATTTGTTTTATTACTCTGTTTAGTGCATTTAAAAGCTTGTTACATTATAGGTTTATTAATATTTGTTTTATTACTCTGTTTAGTGCATTTAAAAGTTTGTTACATTATAGGTTTATAAATATTTGTTTTATTTTCTGCTTTTTAGTAACTCGCTCTTTATGAAGTCGACACCACATTCGAGTAAAAATACTTTTCGAAATAATATAATTAAAATTTAATGACTTATTGTATAAGTAATTAGATAACACATGAGACATTCTTGAACTTTATCCGGAAAATTTGAATAAAATTTCTGCATTAGAAGTGGGTCGAAATTGAGTTACAAAATTTGCCCCAACCCACCAACAGACACTTTGTAAAAGTTTGTAAATAAAATGCAAGTGGGTGTTGGGGGGGGGGTAGGGGGGGGGGAGTGGCGGATTACAAATCATCTGAAATGAAATGTAAAAAAAAAAAAAAAAAAAAAAAGCACTAACTTTTTTAATCTGAAGGTTCATGAGGGCATATGAAGTAGAGTTCACGTGCTTCAGAGACTGAGGCATGTCATCACTCAACACTATGACCAGCCGCCTTTACTTTCCCTAACGTGAGTCAGGTACCCGTCAGAGCTGAGTGACTCAGGTACGTACTTTGGAGTCAACCATGACTCACCAATAATATCTCTCACAAAGCCTTTATTAAAGAAAGCAAGTTTGTTCTACTTTCTTGTTTTCAATTGCATTTAAAAGCTTATTGTTATAAATGTTTGTATATTTTTTTTATATGGTAGTGGTATAACTTTATGAAAGCATGTGGATTGATAAGAGGTTCAATACAAGACAGGCCAAATGTATCTTTAAAAATACAATTTTAAAAAATTGCCTAAAATTTTTACCTCATGCAGTGGCGTAGCGAGGTCGGGTGTCACCCGGTGGGGCACTTAACGGTGTCACCCCCAGAGGCGGAAACTTTCAAATTTTCGATTTGCACCCCCCCCCCATCAAACTTTCGATTTGCACCCCCCCCTCAAGTTTTTCTCTATATATTTTGCTTTTTTTTGCCTTAGTGTCACCCCCCCTCTAAATGGTGTCACCCGGTGCGGTCCGCACCCCCGCCCCCCCCCCCCTCGCTACGCCTCTGACCTCATGTATATTTTAAAAAGTAGTTGCCTGATGCCTCATCTATATATTTTATCTCGTGATGTGTATAGTAAAAGACATATTGGCTGTGTGTTGCACGGCCTTATCAGTTCGTGGTGTTGGTCTATAAATAGACTAGCTGCCAAGAGCTGGTCATTCCCATTGTGTTAGAGAGTAACGGAAAATGAAGGTCTTTGTTGGAGTATTTATATGTGTTCTATTCGCATGTAAGTTCGTGTACTAATGTCATGTCAGTTTTCAGATGTCATCTAAATTGTCTGCGTACTTATGTCAGGCCAGTTTTCTGTGCACGAGTGTCATGTCATATTTGTTTTAGGTCAGGTAAGTTGTCGGCACACCCGGCGCTACCTATAAGGCGAACTAGGCGGTCGACTAGGGCGCCATCCCTAGGGCGCCATCTCTAGGGCGCACAACATGTTTAATCGCTAAAATAAAAAAGTACCTACTAATAAATAACTATTATAAAGGAATAGCGATCTATTTCGGCACCCTAGACGATCTATCAATTTCGCACCCCCACCCCAAAATTAGGTCTATATTGGCCTATATTTATTCGCGATGTTGAAATGCAACCCAACATCACTAATTTGGAAAAGTCGAGGCGCTTTTTACCAATAACTTTGTTTTTTAATTTAACTGATGTAGAAAACGATTAAATAAGTTCGTTATTAAATTTCAAACAGTTATTTAATTTTAATAGGGCTTGCAAGTCTCGTTTTATCTGATTTTGATTTAGAAATCTGTCCTGGTGTACAGAGTTTTGTATTGACTGGGTGTTCATAGTATTGTACTTGTTTGGTAAGTTTTGATGAATCGTTTAGATTTGGGAGTAGCGGCGGAAGGCTGTTTGCTGATATGGTTTCTTAGGTATAAAGTATCGAAGTGTTAAAGTGTCATAATTTGTATTCGGCTGTTTTGTCGTTGAAGGTCTAGTTGAATCTGATTGGTAATAGAGAAATGAGAATGCAGGTGATGAAGTATCGTAGTTCTGGAGTTCGGGAGTATTGATTCTTCTTGTATTAGGTATCGAATTATATTGACTATTAAAGTGTAGTGTTGATTGGAAGTACCGTTTGTAGAGCTTGGTGAAGTTAAACGAGTTGGTGTCTTAGTTCTGGAGCTTCGAGTCCAGATAAGTTTAGGTATCGAAGTTTGATATGGGTTGTTAATGTAGTAGAGTTTGAGTATATCGAGTAGTCGAGTTTATCGTAAGTTATAAGATTTCAATTCAGTACGAACACATTGCAAAAAAATGTAGGCGGTATCTATTTGAAAAATTTTTTGTTTTTTTAGGAATCTATATTACCACTCTAAAAGTGTTAATGTATAATATTAAATAGGATGGAATTTATAACTAACCGTAAACTTTATTTTTTTTAAATTATAATTTTCGTATATTATTTTCAATTATAATTTTCGTATGTATATATATATATATATATATATATATATATATATATATATATATATATATATATATATATATATATATATATATATATATATATATATATATAAATATATATATATATATATATATATATATATATATATATATATATAATTAATCAAAAACGCTAACAATGTCTGAAACAGGTACCCGTGCTTGATTTTTTGAACGGCGTCCCTTTAATTAGGGGATCCAAAAATTACCAATAACTTCTTTATAAACGGTTTACATTCGTAGTATGTCATCGTAATTGAATAGAAGTATGTTATAATAAAGCTGCCGTTTTTAGACTTTCAAGCAAAATCTACAGTCAAGTATTCAATACATATATTGCTTTCAAAAGGTTACTTTGCTAATATAAAAGATTTGTTATAATTATTACTTAATGAAATTTAGAGCGTTTCTTGTGTTTTTCAATCACGTCTTAGATCCACTTGGTTAATTTTGCCATTCTTGTGAACGTTATTTCCCTTTAATAAAATTTTGGTATTTGGATTTCCAAATGGGAGATAATTCGTTGCTTAACTTAACATTAATTTCAAATTCCTGCACCTTAGGTTGACCGCTTACATATAAATACAACCTTAAGATATTATTTGCTA